TACTATCCATAATAGCACTTTTACCAATAAATATTGCATACCATAACACTATATTTTTTCATATATATATATATATAAAAGGCAGGATGTGTGTGCATATGTGTGTGTGTGTGTGTGTGTGTGTGTGTGTGTGTGTGTGTGTGTGTGTGTGTGTAACGAATGCACGGCCGCAATTTTCGACGGATTTGCACCAAAATTTACATGCACATGCTCCAAGTTAGCGGGAAGGCTATATCGATTTTTGCATTTCCCAACTCCCATCGATAGTGGAAATAATCGATTTTTTTCATGCTTCTACGGCAGTTTTCATGTAGTTTGCGGCCATTTTCTACTGGCCAGAATGAGAGATTTATAGCTGGCTGCCACGAATAGGCAGGAAGAGTCTATTGGCCAACAGCTGACTGACATGAATGTTAACTAGTATGCTAGCAAATAAAAAAAAAAATCGATAGCTGCATTCGTCACAAGTGGGAAAAATTTAAATCTGCATGGCACTTTACTCCAATTGGCTCATTTCGCTTGCTTAAACTCAATGTTGATTCTGATTCCGCAGAACTGGGTTGGGTGTGAAAAAAGTATTTGTTGTTAACATTCTTTTTTCATTCGGTTTTTCCAGTTACGAGTCCTTTTTTAAAGCTGATCGTTTTGTGTTCATTTTGTTTAGTTCAGTTTTTTTTTGTAACAGATTTAATGTTTAGTATAGAGCTTAGAAAAAATTCGCAGTGTGAGATAGGCAAGAAGTAAGGCATGTAACAACATCAGCACGGTAAAGGGCACTCCTTTAAAGGAAAGGAAGGCAAAAATATTTTAAGTCAATTGATAGCGATTGATTGCTGTATGAGTCGTACGATTTTTGAATCAAGCACGAGCATCGCCGACCCATGCTGCTAGTATAGATAGATAGATAGATAGATAGATAGATAGATAGATATTATAATAAAAACATGATGAAATCGCTAGAAATTGCTATTTTTCATGTTTCAATACAATGATCGTCCTTCTTCAGGCGATGCTAAGTAACTGATGATTAAATGATTTTTTAAGGAATGTTAAAAGAAAGTTTATTGCTTTTCAGAAAGGTACATACGGTCAGAATTAAAATAGACATGAAAATATGTCTTGATTAACCAATTAAATGTCAGATCTACGCTTAATACCAGAGAAGACCCATATATGATGAGGTGAAAAAAGCAATGAAAAAAAACTCATCCACCCAACCCTATATTCTCTTCAATGTTTTATTATAATCTTTATAATAAAAAAAATATAATAATAATATATTACTTATTTTGTATTGAGCACTTTTTAAAAAGTAAATGCTACAAACAGTGGATTTTTATTAATCTGTTATTTTTCATTTGTATATATAATTTATTTTAAGACATTTTTATATTTATACGTTCTTTTTATAGATACAAATGTTTAAATAAATGCTCTGTTTATAATAAACAGTATTAACGACGTTTATCGGCCTGAAATAGAAAATATGCCTACTCCGACAGAAATCGAACCTGTATCCTATACGGAACCGTCATATAGATGTTTATTATAAACAGCATTTACTTAAATATTTGCATCTATAAAAAGAACGTTAAACATAAAAAATGTCTTAAAATAATTGTCCATTTCATAATGTGTGACGTCATTCGTTTACATTTGGATACGCATCGAGCAGATATGAATGTACGATAGAAAATTATGGAGAATCGTAGTTTAAAAACAGTAAAATCCACCTTGTTAACCGAAACGCTCCTCTGTGGCTAAATCAGTAATGCACGTCAGGCTATATGACGGTTCCGTATAGGATACAGGTTCGATTCCTGTCGGAGGACGCATATTTTCTATGAAAGTTTCTCGGACTTTCAGACCGGTAAATGTCGTTAATACTGTTTATTATATTTACTTAAATATCTGTATCTATAAAAAAGAACGTATAAACATAAAAAATGTCTTACAATAATTGTCGGACTTTGTCCATTTCATAATATATTTATTGTTTACGGAGTCAATCCATTATAGTTTTTTTTAGAAATCTACACCCGGACAAAGGCAATTCACCATGGCCATGACATTTATTTTGCACATCCAAAATTACATTTTCATACGGGTGTTGCATCTCCACCTGTTTACTACCCTTTGAATTATCGTAGGGGACCCCCTTTCATCTCTAGTGGCAGTTTCTTACAACAAAACATTATTTCATACCCAGAAAAAATTAAATGCTATTTCTGAGATGCTGTCGAATGCACTATCAATTTAATGAAATCACTTTTTCCACTTTTTGAAGCCTCAACATCCTTAACAGACGTTCATTGGTCGACACCAGTTGTTCAGCTAACTCCCAACTTGACTGTCTGGTGTTACCATCCAAAAGAATTTGTAATTCATCACTTTGAAATTCTGATGTTCTATCGCCTCATGTTTTTTTTTGTTTTGTTTTTTTCCGGCATGTTTAATTTTTGAGTTTACTGAATTTTGCAAGTCTTTCCTGACATATCCAACTTCCAACCGAAACATCTCCAATGGATTCATCAATCATCTTCCTCGCATCGGTTGTCGTCATACCCAAATTGAAAAGGAACAATATACAATGTCAAAGTTTAATCTTGTCGGAAACATTTTCCCGCAACAAAAGAGTATTTCATGGCCGGCAAGAAATTAAATGCAATTTATGAGACGCTGTTTTATGCACTAACAATGTGTGCAATCCATTTTGCCGCTTTTTGAAGCAACGCCATATTTAGCAGACGTATTTTAACTGTTCAGTTATCGACAAGATTTTCAGCTTATTCACTCTGAATGACATTTTCTACAAATATTTCATGGCAACTGCTGTGACGAGCTTTTTTTTTTTTGTTGGTTCCCGGACGACATGAATTTAAGCGTGCTACTAGATTGGCAACTCGATTCCACCCGTTTACTATTGAAATAGCTAAATCTAACTGACACTTCTATTCCGACAGTTTGTTTTCTCGCACTTACCCCCTGTGGAACACTCTTCCGTTTACTTGCTTCCCTGATAAATACAATCTTCAAAAATTTAAATACAGTATCAATCGATATCTTTCGTCTTGAACCCTTTTCATCTTTTATCCTTTCCTCAATCCTCCATATACTCAGTCTTTTTGGAGAAGCCTTCACACCTTGTAACCCCCTGCGTACTAGGGGTATTCCCGTTTTGATTGGGGTGAAATGATTGTTTTTTAATCCCAACTTGACTGTGTGAGGTCTTCATCCAAGAGAATTTGTAATTCATCACTTTGAATTTCTCGTGGTCCATCGCCTCGTAATTTCTCTGACAATTCAGATTCATGAACTTCGCAAAACTTACAGAATGAATCGGCCTCAACAATCATTTTCTTTTCTCTGGTTACTATCTTACCCAACTTGGAAAGGAAATATATATAAAGTTGAATTTTAATATTATCCGATTCATTTTTTTTTTCTCAACATAGGACAAACGAATACCGAAGGAAAAATTTCAAAATTATTTTTCAGCTGTGTATTCAATATATAGCTTTTAAGGAAAGAGGGCGCTGAGAATTTTTGCCCGCAACTATATTGTTGAAGGATCTACGCATGCGTGTGTGGCTATAGATGAAAGCATATAATGCATAGAAATGATCATGTTTGTTCTGAAAATTTCATTTTGGCTCTTTGAGTTCTATCTTAAGTTCTAATAAAATAATTTATCTTCCCTTTGAGCCAATTGGCTTTTACTTCCTATTTTTTTATTTTATATTTTCAATAACTTCAATTTTTATTATGTTGAAGGCTAACATTGATAGATGCATCATCAAAAATTAGAATTATTTGAGGGATTTATGATCAAAACAAACCGTGGGCGTAAAACTTAAGCATTTTACATTTGTTTTAAAAGAAGCCCCTTTAAGAAGATAAAAAAAAGATAGGAGGAAAGTTTTCTAAGGAAGATTTTAATCTCTTGTCCATCTCTTTACGGGTATATTTAGGAGCGCTAACGAAATGTCAAGCGGACTCATAAGCGTGGGAGATGAAATTTGTAAAGAAACAAATAGAATGAAAAATATTTTTACAATATACAAATTATAAAAAATACAAGGGAGGTTTTGAGGAGCGTGGAACCACTTCTTGATTGCTATTGTTCTCAGGTCCATCCTGACGTGGGGTGGTAGCACCTGTTAGGGTCCCAGCCATGGGAAAATAGCTAATTTTATAGTACAAATACCAGCAATACATTTTTATAGTAAAAAAAAAACTTACCAGCATACAGTTCTGTAAGAGAAAAATATTACCAGCAATACATTTTTGTAAAAAAAAAAAAAAAATACCAGCTATAGATTTTTGGAAAAAAAATTACCAGCAATACATTTTTGTCCAAGAAATTAATAATTCTCTCAAGAAAATAATTTTTTTCATTAAATGACCCATAAAGAGTTGATATGCCTTTAAAAAACAAACAAGCAAACAAAATACAATATAGGACTTGCAGAAAATGTCCCTTGTGCACCTTACACTATCAAAGCATTGTTATCAGTTCTTACAAAATACGGAATTGATTTCTATTAAAACACAACAGTTCATATAAGACAAATGTTTTCCTCAACCACAAAAGAAATTTTAACAATTTTTTTTTTGGGGGGGGGGGAAACAATTCATATAAATAAATTTCGTAACAACAAAAGAAATTTATTTACATCGAAAAGTTCACAATTCAAAATGTCGAATATTTAAAAGTTGAAAATTGAAATACGAAGTGGGTGAGAAAAGATTGACCTCTTTCGTGCGAAGTTAGTTTCTGGGTCGTTTTGATAAATATTCACATTTTTTTGAACTCTCACGGGTTTATAAAAGACATACGAATGAGAAAAACTCATAAGTATATAAAATTCATTTATATATGAGATAAAAATTATATGTTTACAAAAGATATTCGCATATCAAATTTAGAAAATCCTTTTTTCTTCTTTCTCCTTCAAGGCAACAGTAGTAGTAGTAGTAGTAGTCTTTTCTTACCTCAGGTCACTGCGTACCAGCCCGAGTGGTCGGTTCCTTTCTTTCAGATGACTGCCCTTACACGCGAGATACGGTCAATCCTTTCACACTACAAAAGCAGCAGTGAAAATTACATGCATATCACAGTGAATTCTTTCTGTCCGATCACTGACTCTTGCTCGAGTGAGGTCTATTTCTTTCTTATTTTGCAGCCAAAATCGCCATTCTTATAAAGCTAACACGTGTTTCAAAACCGATTCATAAACCCACTCCTTGTGGTTGGGGCGTATACTTTTTATAACCACTGGTTAACCACTGGTTAAAAATTCGAGAGTCGCTATCCAGTCAAACTGCACTCGTTTACAATTAAAATTTACTGGTTTTTGACAGCATCAAAACCAAGCCTATCCTGTAAAATTTTGTCAAGGAAAGTTTAACCCGTCTGGTCGCATTTTAGAGGTTTCTTTATAAATGAAACCGTGTTATTAACACCTTAATTTTATTAATTCATTTTTCCTAGAATTTAGTATTATCTTTTTATTAAAATAATTTCCATATTAATTTTTACTTCATTCCAACATTTTAATTAATTATTCTCATACAATTTTAATATTATTGTTTTTATTAAAATAACTTTTATACCTTTTATTATATAAGAGATGTTACTCAGTTGTTCATAGGATTTGTACTTTAAAAAATGTCTAACCTAAAGATTTAGTTTCTGTTTGTCGTACTTTGTAGATGATGTTAGACCTTAGATAGTAGTCTCCAGCTATCTCATCTCGCTACATATCTAGATAGATATGTAGCAACTTGAACAGAAATGTGCATAGATATATACATAAGTTTTAAACATATTAAAACATTTTACTATTTTAAACACACACACACGCACACATGCATATATACATACAGGTTTTGCTAAAATCTTATAAGAACACAAGAAAATTAAATAAAAGCTTAACTGCATAACTTTTCAGTTTTTAACGAAACTTTATATATATATATATATATATGTGTGTGTGTGTGTGTGTGTATGTATGTATGTATGTATGTATGTATGTATATGTGTGTGTGAGTTTCTGTCTGTGTGTGCGTGTGTGTGTAAAAATTTCTGATAGAGCTTATCTGTAAAACGACATTATGAATAAAGACAAAGTGGAAAAATTCTTTTAACCGACTCGTTTGATCTTTATTTGCCTTGATAAAACCCTCAGAGGACGAAACGGGTCGACTCGGATAGGTTTTCCCTTTAAACATATTAAAATAAATTATCTGGCAATATAAAAATCTTCTTTTTTTTCACATTCATAATTTTATATTATGCCTTAAATGGGAGTGTGTGTATATATAGCTGGGCAAATATATAACGAAGAACAAAAATAAGCGACAAGTGTGGACAAAAGAGCGGAGGAAAATAAGCGTGTGCGTTCATACGCGTACTAAGACTTCTATAAGTTCGGTTTTTACATTACAGAATAGAAATTATTTCTTTCAGTTGATACCTTCTTCTCTTTCTTTATTACACCAATTATTTCTATCAATTGATATCTTCTTCTCTTCATTCTTTCCTTCTTTAAACCAATTATTTCTTTCTATTGGCGTCTTCTTCTCTCCTTACATTCTTTCTTTACACCAATCCTTTCTGTCTATTGATATCTTCTTCCTTTCTTTCTTCCCGTTATTACACCAATTATTTCCTTCTATTGATACGTTCTTCTTCTCTTTTCTTTCTTTTCTTCTTTTCAACGACTTGTTTTCTCCGTGTTTTTCTATTTATTTCACTCTCATTTTTCTTTCTCTCTTTGAGTCGATTATTTCTTTCTTCACACCGATTATTTCCTTACTTTTGATATCTTCTTTCTTAGTTTAGGACGATCTTTTCGCTGTGTTTTCGTTTTATTTTACATTGTTCTTTCTTTCTGTTTACTTTCTTTCTTTCTTTCTTTCTTTCTTTCTTTCTTTGACTTCCTCAATTTCAGTTTATATTTTCTTTCCTTATTTTCTCGCATTTTGTTCTTACTTTCTTTCTTTCTTTCTTTCTTTCTTTCTTTCGTTCGTTCCCCTCCTACTTTTCTTTTGTCTGTTTTTTTCTTTATCTTTTCTTTACCCTGATATTTTCGCGTCTGTTCTTTCCTTATTTCTTTCTTTCTTTCATCCGCTTGTTCGTCCTTCCGTTAATTCATTCATACTGTTCTTTTTATCCCGCTCATCTTTCTATTTTTTTTTCTTCAGTTAATCTTTCTCATTTTTTTTTTTTTTATTCCCAACCTCTTTCTCTTTTTCTTTTTTTTTTCCCCGCCGGACTTGATTCACATTGTTTTTTCTTTCTTTCTTTACTTCTTTTTATTTCACGCTGTTTTTCTACCTTTTTTTATTCCCTTCTCCCTTCCTCCCTTCCTTCCTTCCTTCCTTCCTTCATTCATTCATTCATTCTTTTATTCATTCATACATTCCTTCATTCCTTTTTTCTTTATTTTCTCCTGCCGTTCCTGTCTATACATACGTTTTTTCTTCTTTTCTGATTATTCTTTCTTATTTTACATTATTTCATTCACGATTATGTCTTCCTTTCCGCTCTTCTTCATTCTTTCTCTCTCTCGCTTTTACTTTCCCTCTCGCTGTTATTTCTACCTATCTTTCTTTCTTTACTCCTGATCTTTTTTTCGTCCCTGTTCTTTCATTCATTCTTTATTTATTTATTTCTTTAACCCTGATATTTAATCCATTTTCTTTCATACTTTCTTTCTTTTTGCTTTCTTTCCCGCTGTCCGATCTTTTCTACCCCTGATCTTTTTCTCTCCTGTACTTACTTGCTTTTTAGAGAGATCCCCTGCTGTTGGCCTTTCTTTACCCCTGAACATTTTCACCCGTCCTTTTTCTTTCCTTGAATCTTTCTTTCTTTATTTCCCTCTCGTTGTTCTTTCTTTCTGTCCTTCTTTCTTTAATTCTTTGATCTTTTTCTTTCTTTCTTTCTTTCTTTCTTTCTTTCTTTCTTTCTTTCTTTCTTTCCCACTGATCTTTTTTGTACGTTGTTTTTCCTTCCTTTTTCTTTCCTTCTTTATTTCACTCTCGCCATTTTTTTCTGGCCCTCATTCTTTACCCTGAACGTTTTGTTCGTTTCGTTTCGTTTCTTTCTTTCTTTCTTTCTTTCTTTCTTTCCCTCCCCCTGTTCTTTATTTATTTATTTATTCATTTATTTCCCACCCGTTCTTTCTTTCTGCCCTTCTTTCTTTACCCCTGATCTTTTTTGTCCGGTCTTTTTCTTTTCTTTTCTTTTCTTTCTTTCTTTCTTTCTTTCTTTCTTTCTTTCTTTCTTTCTTTCTTTCTTTCCCTCCCGCTTTTTTTCTCTCTGTCCTTTTGTCTTTACCACTGATTTTTGTGTTCTTTTCTTTCCTTATTTATTTATTTATTCATTTCTTTCCCTCACACTGTTCTTTTTTTCTGTCCTTCTTTCTATACCCCTGATCTTTTCCTTCCTAGTCACCAATCTCTCTCCACATCTCCTATCTCTAATCTCTCACCACTAAAATCTGAATCGTTATCCATTCTCTTCATATCTCTCTTTTCTTTGACAATTCTTATTATGAGAATATTTTCAACGCAAATTTTCTCATTCTATTTTGCTCTGACCGTCTTACCTGTGCAGAGAAAGTCAGGACGAAGCTCTAAAAAATGAAACAGCTCTCATTGTGTTTTCGATTTATGTTTTTTCTTTCAAAACTCATGTCAACGTCGTTTCTTTTTCATCTGATTTAATTTCTGATTCAATCAAACAATACAAAACACGCTGCGAATTTTTTAAAAAATTGCTTTTCAAGTTGTCACCGTTTATTATTTTACTAACTCGCACTAGCAAAACGTTTGCGAATTGCTTTCGAAACATTTCAAAACGACAGATGTATGCTAAAGTCGAGTTCTCGATACTTATAATAGAAATCCTAGTAAGGTGTAAGGCCAAGTTTACTGAAGAAAATTGTTAAGAATTTCAAATAAAAAGGATGTTAGAATCAAATAACAGGAAGGAATAACAAACAAAATATAGTTACCGCAAAAGATAAATCGACTAACAAAAAAATGGTTAAAAATGCTTACCTCGTTTTCATTCCTCTCTCATCAGTGCTGCATCGAGGACTGAAAAAATGTGCACAACGAAGAAAATTTTAAAATAACGACTGGAGGTCAAATATATAATTATCAAACAGGCCTAAACTCCAGGAGAGCAAGACATCACACCTTCTTGCCTCACGTTTCTTTATTAACCGTGATATTTTATCTATTTTCTTTCATTCTTTCTTTCTTTTTCCTGTCTTTCCCATTGTCCGATCTTTTCTACCCTTGATTTTTTTCTTTACTTGCTTTTTAGAGATCTCTCCTGCTGTTGGCCTTTCTTTACCCCTGATCATTTTTTCTCTCATCTTTCTTTCTTTCTTTCTTTCTTTCTTTCTTTCTTTCTTTTGTTTATTTCCTACGTCAGTTCTTTCTTTCTTTCTTTTGTTTATTTCATTCGTTATTTCTTTCTTTCGTTTATTTCATTCATTAGTTCGTTTTTTCTTTCTTTTGTTTATTTCCTTCGTCATTTCTTTCTTTCTTTTGTTTATTTTGTTAGTTCTTTCATTCTAACTTGATATTTTGTTTCTTATTTGATAAAGACTATATTCTTTCTTTTTCTCTCCCTTCTTAAGTGTTATTCTTCCTTTATTTCTCATCTACCTTTCCTTCTCACCCCTATTCTTTCTTTCTTTCTTTTCACTCTGGCTGTTCTTTTTTTCTATCCTTCTTTCTTTAGCACTGATCGTTTTTGTCCGTTCTTTTTCCTTCCTTTTTCTTTCCTTCTTTATTTATTTCCCTACTCGCTGTTCTTTCTTTCTGCTGTGAAATAGAGCGACTATATCGAATCATTTGCTTCGTCTACTACAAAGAAAGTTATTTCACTGTGTCGTGCCAGAAAATTCTTCTCGTCCATCATGTACATTTATAAATCTACCATCCGTCCGTATATTGAATACTGTTGCCATATTTGGTC